CGAAAATTGGTTGTGTAGAAAATTCTTCAAATCCTTGTATAAGCTAGTATACAAGGGATAGTATGATTTTCTAAAAAAGAGTGAAGAGGATATTTTTAAGAACAGTAGCAATAAATTGAATTAATGTATAGCATCAAATAAACCATAAATTAATAAACAAACAATTCGTGTAGCAATAACTTTATATACTATCAATTTTTCATTTTGAAATTCAACTTATATTCCAGTTGCGGATATTAATTTTTCAGGTGGGGGGGGGGGCAAAGCACACAAAAACAAACAAATTTGCTAATAAATGGTATGCATAATTTACCGACAAAAGTGTCTTGTAACAAAACAATTTGGTAATCTATCTTCTTTCTATCTTAAAACAAAACTATCTTTTTTGATTTGACTCTAGAAGTGAAGTCTTGAGCAATGAGATTCTGTAAAACCACTTAAAAAGGGGGTTTTACAAATGTGAGTTCGTAGGTCGTTCGCAGAAACGTACACGATAAATACGGCAAAAACTGTTATCCAATTCGCTAATTTCTTACACTTCTTCTAATTCGTCAGTTCACGGCAAACGACTAAAGAAATCTTAAACGGCTAACGACGAAAATGTAACGGCAAACACAATTCTTCAAGCTAGCGACAAGGTACACTGAGTTCGACAAAGCTTACGGCAAGACTGAACCTAACTATAAAGCCACCCCTTATATACCCTAAGAATAATACAATTTACAGAAGCTGATGCAATTGCAGCGCAATGATGCAATTGTCATGTGATGTCCTGCAATGAATGGGAACCCTGTGTTCTAACATAGCCCCCTCCTTTGAAAACAAGCCTCCTGGCTTGGTCTTCTTGTGGCGTTTCTTCTTCGCATTTATACAACATGCCTTGCAACTCTTTCGTTTTTGGTAATGAGAATAATGGTGATGATGATCTGCACAGATGTGATGGAGCTAACAGTATATCGGTGATTGACGTCATTTCTTTGAATATTGTTGTCAGGGGCGTTTTGAAAATTTCTGCCTCGTCGAACGCTATTGTTTGGCCCAATTGCTCTTTCATCAAGTTAGCAAGCTCCTTTGTTATGTCTTCTAACAGGCGGAACAACTTGCACAGAGCAACGAAGGGTTCAGTTGTGGTTTGGGTTGTCATTCTTGTCCGAATTTCGGCTTCAAAAACTGGGCCCATTTTTGCATTCACAGGCACAGAAGCTTTTCCTTGCAATGGTTGCTGCTTCAACGGGCGTCTTCTACAATATTTGACCACGTGTCCCACTCTTTTGCAGTAATTGCAAATCGGCTGGTCGTTTGTGGTTCGCAGGTATCGATAAGTGCTCATCTTCTGTTCCTTCGGCTCGGCTGTCCTCACACGGGGTAACCAATGTAAAACCTCTTAAAAAGGGGGTTTTACAAATGTGAGTTCGTAGGTCGTTCGCAGAAACGTACACGATAAATACGGCAAAAACTGTTACCCAATTCGCTAATTTCTTACACTTCTTCTAATTCGTCAGTTCACGGCAAACGACTAAAGAAATCTTAAACGGCTAACGACGACAATGTAACGGCAAACACAATTCTTCAAGCTAGCGACAAGGTACACTGAGTTCGACAAAGCTTACGGCAAGACTGAACCTAACTATAAAGCCACCCCTTATATACCCTAAGAATAATACAATTTACAGAAGCTGATGCAATTGCAGCGCAATGATGCAATTGTCATGTGATGTCCTGCAATGAATGGGAACCCTGTGTTCTAACAATTCCCTAATTAATTCAAATAGTCCAGCATGTTCAAATACAGTTGAATCCCGATATAACAAACCCCGAATATAACGAGCTTTCCGGTATAACCAACTAAATGTCTGTTCCCTTGAATTCTGCCTATCAAACTCTTTACAAATTCTATCGGCATATCGAGCCCAGGATATAACGTCTCTTTGGGGAAATCACTATTGACTCAGAGCACGAGATGAAAGTTTTATCGCTCACAAGTTACTACGAATAATTACATCAACACTAACAAATATCTTCTTACTTTTGAGACATTGGCAATGAACGACGAGAAAATTTTATTGGGAGATCCAGATATTTTTGGGCGTATACTACGAAATAACCTAAAAACGGTTTTTCCCCGGTTTAACGAGCTCCCAATATGACGAACTATTTTCTGGTTCGTTATTTCGGGATTTCACTGTAGAACCTTAGTTTGTATGAGCAGACATTACAGGTAGGCCCGCAGAGAGGTTTCGGGGTTCTTGGGGGAAAACTGGCAGTCATTTCTTGCTCACTTTTACAATTTTTAGGCATAAAAACTGGCATACTTTCAGGCATACTTTTTTTCCGCTTCATTGACTTCATTCTTAAAATTGAATTCATTACTTTATGATTCCCCCTAGACCTCAAGGCCCTGAGAGGCTTTGCCCCCCTTGTCCCGCCTCTCAGCGGCGCTGATCACAGGGGCTTCCAGTACCTCCAGGATCAACGTTCAGAGTTTTTCAATAAACTTTGACCCCAAACCCCAAACTTTAGGTGGAAATTAGATGGCTCTGGATATGCCGACAGTTGTCTGCTAGGTTTTAAACTCTGGCTGTCGACAGAGACCGAGGGAGTCATTTGAAATTTTTGGGGGATATTTGCCCCTCCGTGACACCTATAGCGCTATTTCTACGTATTATGAATTGCTGAGGGTTTTTGGGTGATACTTATATCATCCCCACTGTTTGCTAAAGCTCTTCTGTTTGCTATGCGACAAAACATTAATTCTGGAAAATTTGTCGATAAGAACTTTGCAGGGGGGGTTGGGGGGGTTTGGGGGGGTTGGTGGGGGTTTAAACTCGTTCACATATCTCTTACAAAAGTTAATAAAAAACATTAGGTAGGGGTGGATCGTATTTTGGCCAAAGGAAATTTCACCTTGTATAAAGCACTGAAGCGAGACAAAATGGGCGTGGTCTCGCTGGACAAGCCCATTACCCTCCCGCTCTGCAGTAGCTGGCAGCAGCATTGCTTTCACTGACCTTTGCTTATGACAGCTACCCTGAAAGTAGACTGGCTCCAAGTCGATTTCGAGCTTGAGAGAGGCATATGACTTGATAGATAATGCTAATTGAAAATTGTAGCAAAGAAACTTACACGGGATCGATCCCAAACTAGTACGGACCAGCCTTCCGTTATCCGCACTCATTTGGGGTCGCTTTGGAGAGCGTTCCAGTTTGGGATCGATCCAGTTTGGGATCGATTCCGTCTCGTGTAAGCGCGCAGAATTGGTGGGATCGATCCCAAATTGGCACGGATAGCAAACGAGGCTAATGTATCTTCTTTTTCTCTGCAGTAAATGATAAGATGCGTTCCGTCAACCAGTTATTGGTCGAAAAGGGGGTAGCAAAATAGGAAATCTTTTCATTTGAACCCTTTTTTCCAACCACCGTCACCATTTATTTCAAGTGGGTGTTGACATACATAACATGACTTCACCCCATGTCTCACCCCTTCTTCCACTTTTTGCAATCCCAGGCCCGTCCAGACAATAAACATTCGAAGACAATAAAATGAGACAGTTGATATCAGCAAAATTTCGTTCGAAGCAGCAGTTCCGAACTTGAGCTGTGGATGTCAAGGCGCACTGCTTAATACGGCAACGACATGGTGATACTTACTGCATTCCTCGCTCTTTGCTGTTTGCCTCTAGGCACTGTTTTGACATATAAGTTTTAGAGTATTTGTTACCTATATTGCATTTCGCCTTGAGGTTAAGTTTATCCGTGCAAAGTTATAGATATAAATGATATAATCTCAGGGCATTTAATTCAGACTAGGGATAGCATCAATGTCATGGTATGCACTCACAACACACCGCGGAGCAGGGGCTGGGGGGCGAAAGTCTCCCCACATTTGCAAAAATTGCCAAATATTAGGTAATAAACTACCAGTAAAGACTCTTTTTCTACGTTTTTAGCCCCCTCCCCACTTTTTTTAGACCCCCCACTTTTCTCAACTCTCCGCGGTGCCTGCACCATGCTATTTCATAAATGTCATGGTATGCATTTATTTCTTTAGCATTTCCTGACAAATTCAAGATGTAACATTTGCCTAGAAATCGTATGATGCTACATCAACGCAGATTGATCTTACTTTTGTTAAATGTTTCAACAATCCATTGGAGTAACCATTTCAGTATTAACACCATTTCTGGTATATTGGCTAAACCTCTCTCGAAGACTTCAACAAATGTAAACGTAGATTTCTTCAGGCCCCAGACACGCATTACCCCTCGCATTACGAGGGTGTGGGGGCAGTTACACTCCCAAGTTTCATCAGTAAGTAGGTAAAATCGCTGTTTCTTCGATGGATAGGGGTAAAACACTAAGGAAATATACAGTAAAGTGAAATAGGGACAAAATTATTTGGTAAGTTTTATCTTTCATGACCCCACAAGCCTCCTCAATTCTGGAAGATCAAAGAACGATATCTCCTCTTATACTACTTGTGTTTATGAAGATTCTCCGGAAATAAGGTAGGTTTTTCGCCCGAAATACTACTGCAAAACAATGGGTCGTCCTTTGTGTTGCTTGTAATTTGGGTAAAAAGGGTTTTGATGCCTTTTATATGCCTATATAGTTTAACAGAGACTTAAACATAGAGTTTTGCCTATCTAGGTCGGAACCAAGTTCGAAATCATCATGCCACTACACGGGAACGGATCCGCATGGATCTGGGCCTTGCGTTTACATGGACACGGTAGGATAGGATCCGTATCTTTTTGGGGAAAGATCCGTACTCTTCTGGGTAGGATTGGGAAGCGAATCCATTTAGACCCGCAGCTTCATCGGCTTAGTAAGCGGGTGGATACTGATCCGCAAAGGCACGTCAGTAAAATAAGATTTTTGGTTATCTTCTGGTGTCAATATAATTGTACGCAATAAAATTGGATTACCAAGAGTTGTAGAAAAATATTACGAGTTGGATTACCAAGCCTTCGATCAGGGGTGTATTTATAAGATGCCTTTGTGTTTACAAAGAATGCTTGATTGTTGCAAGTAGTTAGTCTACACTGCATACTGCACAGGCAACGGTTGTTATTAATATGCTTTACGAACTAGCAGCACAATCCCTGCCAATGTTTTTGAACACTGTCAGTTTTCAAATGCTAATTTATCCATTCCCTTTTACTTTTAGGACCATGCATGTAGTGTTAGGGGGCTCAGATGGGCTGAACCCTCATTGTTGATGCCGAAAATTGGCAAGGTTCTACTTTTGTCATTGTTTTTCGCAACATTTTGTGCGAGAGCCCCCTTGATATTTTTATAGCACAACACTGCCTTGGACCAATTTTAAAAGAATGAGGTTAGGAGTACGTTTGTTCTTGTTGTCTATAAGATATTTTTCTAGACTATCAACATTGTTATTGGGGAAAGGAGGCGGGGTAGAAGTAAAAGCATTCCGGAAAATTAATGTAAAATTGAAAATCATAACCAAATTGCTGGGTGTTACAAAAAGCTTTGCTTACAGTGCTTGTCAGTTGCCACCATTTCAAACGTGCCACCTTAGGTGTTCTCGCTCGCGCCAAAATAAAAGGGAACAATTCCTATGTCATCGCGCACGTTTAACAAGAGAGATTCGATTTGAGTCCGTTCTTTTTCGCAATGCTTTATGGTTTAGTATATGATCTTGTGTAATTCGTGTTAGCAAGCGCTTCTAAATCGTATCCATATCATCGTGGTTTATTAAGGCCCAAATCGTAGCTAGCGGTGGATAAAGGGGGTTGTAACACCCCCCAATACTTAATGAATTCGTCGGTAAATCTTCTGTTTGTTTACAACATCCTAGTCTGGAATGTCAAGCGATGTCATTGCCTGTGATATAGCATTTTTAATTTACTTTTGACAGAGAAAACATGCAAGGACACAACCTTGGGGAATAAGTACCGGGGAGTTAAGAATCATACACGTGGTGGCTTGCCTTGCCAAAATTGGGCGTCTCAAGAACCACACAATCATACAAGGACACCAGAACGATATCCTCATTCCGGTTTGGTTGACAATTTCTGTAGAAATCCAGATAATGAGCCGGACGGACCATGGTGCTACACAACAACCGACATGAGATGGGACTACTGTGGAGTCAAATATTGCCGCTTGAGTAAACTTGCATTTGGTTTACTATTGAAATGATTTTTTTCTTCTGAAACTTCAAGTCTTTTCTGAAACAAGAAGCCAGCATTTTTTAAAATCAAAATGAATTCTAGGGATTTTCTAATCAGAAAATAGGATTTCCTCCAAATGCGTACGAGATTTTCATAGAGTGAAGGTTTTCTTAAAGAGCACAGGCCATAACTTCACAGAGGGGTAATTATGGAGTGAGTGAAGATTTTAGGCTTTAGAATGGTCCGAGCTATATTTCTCCACCATTGCATGCATGGATTACATCATTTTTTGGTTCTCTGTCCTTAAGTGGTCATGGGAAAACATACTAGTTTACTTTTTTTTATTAGACCCTCATCCTTTATACAAAAGGTTGATAATTCTATAGTCCTGATTATAACTTTGCATTCATCAATAAATTAGAAAAATTAGATGGTCTACAATCTAGTCGTGCACCCTATGTGTTGGCTTCTCCCTCTATTTCTTTCCAAATACTACTTTGCAGTCACTCTTTTCTTCATATCTTATATGAATTTTGAATATAATTCTGCTATCCCTCCATTCAACACCAAACGCTTTGAATATTTTGCATATTACAAACGCTTGTGCCTTTTCATTGTAGCAAAGCCTTGGCCAAACGATTCGTTTTTTCGCTCGATCTTTCTCTCGACTTTTCGCTCACGCAAACAAAATGAAGACAAAGAAGCGCAAAGCGGCTGTCGTGCTTATCTTACATGCAAATGTCCTTTTACATTTTCTTGACGAACTCTAGCGTCATAAGACCCTGTTCGTTTGTTTCATGCAGTAGCCGCCATTTAATATTTATTTCTTCTAAGCAAAATACTATTTTTTGGCAAACTTTTATTTCCTTTGATTGATGCCATTCGTAAAATGCAGGGCCTCCGACGAAGGGGTGGGGGGGGGGGTTGCAAAACAGTAGAGTTTTTTTCAAAATCTTTTGTTATGGGTATTGAATTTTCCGTTGGCCCCTCCCTACTTTTCAACCTTTGTCGGAGCCCATGGTATAATGGAAATCATCACTTTAAGTCATTTCAATTTTCTGATTCTTGTGAAAAAAAGTGTAATGATTGTTTCCCAAAAAAATTTGAAGGCTGATAAATGATAAGGTGAAATCTCAACAGATAATATAATAGACTGTTTGGTTTGGTTTTTATTTCAAGTCGAAACATTTGCAAGGCCAACATCTTTATCAAAATGTGCATGCCTCCATTCAAGCAACTACTTTATAATGAAATAGAAAATAGAATATGCAGAATGGAAGAACTTTTTATTTGATTTCCAATGTGCTCTTTTTTCATTCTAGACGAGTGCATATCGACATATATTGGCAAAAATTACAGAGGTTTTGAGTCCAAAACTTCTAGTGGAAAGACATGCCAGAGGTGGGACTCACAAAAGCCCCATAAGCACACAAAGAACATCTGAAGATTACACATGCTGGCCTGGACGAAAACTACTGCAGAAATCCTGACGAGAAACCCTATGGTCCTTGGTGTTATACAACATCGAAAGAAAAAAGATGGGAGTACTGTGATGTGTGCAGAACACCCTTGTATTGGTTTTCTAGGATACGTTATTAAGTAAGGCCTTTTTGGAATGGTGGGTTCATGTTTGACGTTTACTTTCAAATATTCTGTTCTGACTTTGAGGAATTTGCTGCGAAAAACATGGTCCATGAACATAGACGTAAGAAGTGTTTCAAAAGTTTAGGGGGGGGTTCATGTAGACAAAAAGGGTTATCTCCATGGGCTGCACTGCAAATGGCACTTACCTCTGTTTTTAAAAGGTGGAACATATGCCCCTGTAACTTTTTGTTCCTACATCTATGATTATGAAACTTCAATGGATCGACTGCGGTTTCTCCCGCAGAACGATTTGGATGACGTCAAATGTGACCGCTGTTATGGTATCGAGCTTTCTCCCTTCATAACAGGATAGCCATAGAGGTTATGAATTCTGATTGTTTTTTCTTTATTACAGGGAGAGGGAAGTGTTGTACAAGCTAGTTGGAGTATCAGAAAGCAGTCAACAAGTTGGACTTTGTTTTAAAATTTTCATAAAAATCAACACTTTTATGGTTTCTCTCTTACTAAACTGGAGTATACTGCCATCGTCAATTCGATTCATTCTTTGATGACATCAGAATCCTTCTTCTTTATTTCTCCTGCCTCTTATCGTCTTTTTATGTAAGAGGGTCTGCTACAGCATAGGTCAATTACAGGGGCGTCGTGGCCGGGGGGCAGGGGGGCCGTGGCCCCCTCTGCTCTCAATATTTGATGGAGTTTCGGAAAAATCATTGTTTTGTCAAAAAATTCTCAATTTTGAGCTGTGGGTAATTCTCAAACTCTTTAGCAACATAAATTACTTGGACTAAAGTACTTACCGTAAATTCGAGAGGCAAATTCACTTTTGTAAAGAAAATACTAGATTTCCACAAAACAAAATGATTTCTCAGGATTTACCGATTCCCACCATAGAGTGATTTGCTGTTTGGATTTTTTTCAGTTAAAATCCTAAACTTCAAGGACCAAATTTGGTTATGGAAATTGATCAAATTGGTATAAAACATATCTTTATTGAAGACCGGGACAGTACCAATTTTGTGCCTATCATCAGATTTTTGAAAATTGTGTCCCAGATTTGAAAATGTATGCAATTATGTTGCGTAAGGTAAAAAAGGTAGAAGTCGATCAAAACCAACGATTTCCCCAAGTGGATATTCAATTTAAGAATAAGATTATCATTGAAATTTGCTTCAAATAATGCGATTTCTAACGAATTATAAGCAATAGATCATCAAAAATTTTCCCCTTCGGCGGCAACCATGGTGCTGTCTCAGGTAGTAACTTCATTCTAACCTTGTCCTAATCTACGGATGTCACGGGCGTTCACTGTAAGTATGAAGAAACAGAAACAAGATAAAAAGTGTATTTTGAATTTCTTTCCAGCTTAGGCAAAAGTTATGAGCTTTTCTGCCTCACCCCCTTTACACTTAGATGAAATGCTTCTATTTTCAAAAAATCAAAGAAATTTTGTCGGAAAAGTTTTCTTTCTGGCCCCCTCTAGAGTTGATTCGCCATGACGCCCCTGGTCAATCACAATTTTAATGACCGGTCAAGTACAACGGCAATCGGGTGAGTGGATCCGTCAAACTCCAATGAGGGATATGTAAATGACACAAGTTCTTATAAATTAACATCAAAGGTTTTCAGTAGATATTCTTTCCCTGAACTCTTTATGATGATATGTTCTCTTTCAACACTCTCCCTTAATCAAAGGAAGGCGATTTTTGCTCTGATGTTCCCACCCTCGTCCCACTGCGAAAATCAGGTGTACATACTCACATCACATCTTATTTCACATGCTGCCTTAAGTGGTGACGTCACAAAAGTCTGTTTTTAGAATTTTTGAATATTGATCTCATAGCCTGAAGGAGCATGTTAAAGTACCTCTAATTTTGCAAAACTGATTAAAAGTACTACGAATTGGCTGAGACATGGCCACATGAGCATAGGCTTTTTCCCCATCAAACTCCTGCAATTTGGTCTCACAGTAATTCGTTAAAAAAATTTGAATCTTTTATTGGCTATATCTCACCCAATTTTGGGAAAAATTTAACTGATTTTAGATTTCCTAGAAGTATTTCATGATGTTCTTTTATGTGGTAAAAATTTAAAAATTCTTAGATTGTTTTTTGTGACGTCACACTTAAGAACCATATAATGTCCAGTGCAATTAAAGAGCACGCGAACTGAGTGGTTGTGTTGTCTCCTTTACACCATGTTCATGCTAAACTTCTTTTCGGTTTTCGACCTGGTTACCACCACCGTGATTGTGACTGTTGCCTTCCTTTATTTATTTTCCTTTTTCATTCTCATATCATTAATTACCTCTACTCAGTCACAGAGATGAGGTCTTTAGGCATATTTTAAATTTTGCTTAGATGTTTCAAGTAAATGTTCTTACAAAAGTGTGAAAATATCAAAAAAAAAATAAGTAGAAGGATTTTCAAGCTCGGAGAATATTCAATCAGAAAACATGTCTTTGGCATTCACATCAGCCATAAGACTCTGCATAGATTTCAGTTGAAGAGGACTTAACTGGTCGACATTTCAATAAGATTCTCAAGTTTGGTCAAAAAGTAAACTGTTTCTTGGAGAGTATTCTTAATCTGTGCTTAGCCTGTTGAAGTCTTTTTTGTAAAATAAACACATTTTCAGCATATAATTATTAATGTAATTATTAATATTCATCTATGGTCCTAAAATCAGACTGATATCAAGGATCAGGGCCTTTTAAAACGTACTAACAAGGGGGGCAATTGCCCCTGCAGTCCCAATAACTTTTCATTGTTTTAAACAATAGTCTATTGTCCTTCTCCTAAAATAAGCAAAGGTTTGCCCCCGCAGCTTATTTCCCTTGAAATAGGATATGTCAAGGATGCTGTGAAGCCCGATATCAGAGAGGTTTTAAAACTTGACGTCTCAAGGTTGAAGGACTGCGGAAGCGGGAGGGGGCTAAGGGGGCTTTAGTCCCTCAATTATTTCAAATATGTACATAAAATCACACAAAAATTACTTTGCTCTTAGTTTTTAGTATGTTTAGCCCCCTCAATCTGTATTATGCTTGTTGACAGTGATATACTAAAATCTGCATTGTTACAATGACATACGTCTAAGCTTTCTACAACTGCTTTTTGCATCATAAGTAACTGCCTAGCAAGTACCTCCCCCATATCGGGTGAATATACTACTGGTACCCTTTATATGAGATATTTCAATACTTTTTTCGTGCCTGTTGTAACTTTTGAAGATTGTTTTAATTGTTGGTGTTCTTTTCACTGTCAGTCGCAAAATCCATTCACAGTGGCAGCGCCAAGGGGTGGTATGGGGTACCCCCTCCCCACTTTTCTGAAAATATAGTCTACATATTTCCTTTAAAAATGGAATAAAAAACGTTGGGTTAGGGTAGATCAAATTTCCTAAAGAAAGTTAACTTGAAACAAATCACTGAAACGAGGCAAAGGAGCGTGGTCCCACTGGCCGTGCCCATTACCCTCCCACTCTGTAATAGCTTGCGCCGCCACTGTCCATGTGGTCTGCAATCAGTGCTCGAATAAGAAATAAGGTTAAACACCCAGAGGCGTAAACAGCTTCTGAAAGTCTTTGGGCTAAGCTTTTAAAAGGGGGTAGCTCCCTGGCATTACTCTTTTGAATTGAAATCTTTTTACACAAATTGGAATCATATGTCTTTCAATGACGTCGAAAACTCATTGAAAAAGTTACTTTACTTTTTTGTCAAATATCAAGAAGGCGCGACACAGTGAGTTGAGACTTTGATCCCTTGTTTAATTGCCTTGCTTGAATGCATTTCCGTAATGGACATGACTAATCTATCTGCATTTCAGCTGATGACGTCACTATAACTAGTCATGTGTTTGCAAATGTCTCGAACCAAGCCAAACATTCCCACCTGTACATCCTGTACAGCCACAAAAAGGTGTCGAAAGCCAGACATGAAACAGATATCGAACTTTCCACAATAAACGTCATCATACGAAATAATTTTGTGAAAGTGGTTATTTTGAAAGTGCAAGAGAAACCAATTTTTGCAAATACTTTTAATGCAAGTACGCCACACGCACCCATTCCCTCATCTGGTCATGAACAGCAGAAAAAACCAATAATGATATTACCTTCGGTTTAGGAACAAAGGGATTTTTATTGTTTCCAGTCCCCCTTTAATTTATCGCATTGTAAAAAAATGGCGGAGCGCTAGAATCGTGTTTAGGCTATTGTTCCAGCTATTGTTCTCGTTAACCAATCCATAACGAGACAGATTGCCTTTAAGCCCATGGATCAACGAAGCAAGTTACCCTGCAAGTAAGCTTGTCACTACCTACAGCTGTGAACGCAGTTAACATGCGGGTTTAAATGTGACTATTGCCACATATTTAATTCTAATGCACTTGTTTAATTCTAATTATAATTCTAATAAGACTTGTTCAATTCTAATTTGTATTGGTCTACTCAGAAGCGCCGGAAGCTTCATGATGCAGCGGGGGCAGGACCGGCAGAAAGAGCACCTTGGGGTGTCATAGTTTGCTGATGAAACAGATCGGAAATCGTCGCCTAGCCCATAACGAAGAAGCCTGGTTGTAGGTCAAGACTTTGGCAAGGGAAAGAGGACTGGTGTTCTGGGGGCGTAGCCCCCGGGAAAATGTTCGTTACCATGCCCTAAAAATTCTCAAAAATGAAGGAAAAATTCGCAACACCCATAAAAAATACATTTGAATCAAGACTACAGTCAAAATTCATTCTCGAAATTCCTTTCACCCCAACATCAACCACCAAAGGAGGCTGAATCCAATCCTAGTTTTCATTAAACCAGAGTTTTGGTTTCATGACCATCTACATGGCTTGATATAACTTTTGGATATAACTCTTCTGAACTCACTGTTTTTCCTTTCTTTATTTAAGTTTAGCACAATCTGCAGATATATTCAAGCTAAATAAAGCCAATTCATTTAAATAACCAACGCTAAATACAGTTTAAATAAAATGTGACTGATGTTGCATACGCATTTCTTGTAAACGTCACAAGATTGAACGATGAAAATTCTCAAAATTTTTCTTTAATTTTGTAAAGTTGGGGAGTACTTATACTTTGCTTTGCACTAGGCTCCATATTTTGCTCGATCTGTTTGACAAAGATGTTGAGAGCAGAAGGAATCATGTCATTCTATTATTGTTAAAAAGGCTGTTACATAAAGCCTCATATACACTCTCTTTTTTATAAGAACCAGTAAATTTAAGTTCAGGCTGACTGTTCTTAATTTTTTCGAGAATCTGAGGCTGGATTGTTCTTGATTTGTTTTTAAATTAAGGTACTATCCCCCCCTGAACACAAATATTGGGAGATTCAACTTTGTTGATGCAAAATCTTTGAGTATACCATGAATGAAACTGTATCATGTCACAGAGACCAAAATGGTAGCTTAAATGTTACCATGGCAACCATATCAAGCCCGAAAAGTGTAAAAATTGTGC